TATTTTATTTTTTTGTTTAAAATTTTTTTTTGTAATATTTAAATATTTTCACCGATTATCAGGTACGATGACCTGTTGGCACTATAGAGACCGTGTGTGAGAGAGATAGAGATAAATGTTAGATAGAATCACTGTGAGTGTTGAAAGGGGAATGGGTGAGGGGAGAAAGGAGAGCGAGTGAGACAAGTAGGGAAGGAGAATAGGAAGTGTGGGGGTAGAATAGTTAGATTAACAATGTCGAATACTTAGGAAAGGTTCTTGAATTGTAAAGGTCACTAGACCAATCAGCTGAAAAACTACCTATAGCGATAGGTTGAAAACCTTGACTTATGGTATAGAATAAAAATATCGGTAGAGGATGTCAGAGCACTGTTTGTTTGCTCTCTGTATCTCACGCACAACAAAGCAATTAATGCATGTTTAACAAAACCAACTATATATTATTACTTTAATAATGATTGGTTCTGCTAAACATAAATTTGCTTTGTTATAAAGAGCAAATAAATAGTGCGTAGACATCCTCTCATAGTGTCATCAAGTTGAACAAAAAAGTAAGAAAATACGTCAGAAAAGAATACGTCTTTTAAATATTAAATACGGAAGTATGATAGGATGTAAAAGTAAAAGGAATTAACGATAAAGATAGGACTTTGATGAAAAAATATAACATAAAAATGTTCTGAAAAAAGTCAAAATCGCCTTTAAATCATTAAACATTTAATGATTAGCTTATTACGATTAGTGCAGTCTTTTCCTCACTCTGAACATTTCCAACGTGTTACATGTTTTTTGTGTAAGAGGTTGAACATTTAACGGTTTACTCACCAGCCATGACTTACCATGCCACCACTGCAGACTGTTATCTTTTAGCTCGCTAGGCGTACACCCTCGTGACAACACGTCCGCTGCATTGTCGTTCGACGTCACATGCCGGGACTCCATTGCTGCTAGAATCCGCGGATACCCAATCTAATGTTACAGTCGAATCTGTCCATAAAATATATCGTCGTGATATATTCAGCTTAAGTGAAGGTATAATTACGTCTATCAAATGCGACAAGAGAAGCGCTGCACATAGCTCTAATCTGGGGATCGAAGCAACCTTTACTGGTGTGATACGAGACTTACTGGCCTAATGCCTGGCAGTGTATATTTTTGGGGCGGAACTTGATATTTTTATTATTGCCGTCGCCAATAGCACTTGATTATTGGTATCGGCGGCATCCACGGTATGCGCAACCACCAGTACATTGTTTGCACCGTCACTCTGTATACTTCCTTCTTCCAAACTGGCTTCTTTATCTTGATGTAAGAGTGTGTTGTGTAGTCTTTGACATTTTCCACATTTCCTCGCGGAACACTGTTTTGCCCGATGGTTGAATTTTTTTAAGCAATTACTGCACAATTTCAGCTCGTTGACCTTGCTTATTCTAGACGCTATATCAAGTGCCAGGAATACAGAACATTTACATATTGGGTGCGGTTACTGACACATATAACATTTCATTTTATACGTTGTTAAAAATGTCGATGCCCCCTTTTTTGATAAATTTGTTTCTACATTTTTAATTTATGAACTTGTTTTACCTTCTAGTGCATTTATTAAACAATAACATTTTTCAATATCTGTTATTATTTTATTTGTGTGTAGCAATGCGCAAAATATGCCTTAAAACGTAACCCAATCATCGAATTTTCTCCGTAAATGTAGGAATCTCTAATGGTTTAAGTTTTATTAATGAAAAGTTATGATTTTTTGTGACTTAACTTTGATCACCCTGAATGCATGTCGACTTGTGTCATTAAATCGAACTACAGATCTTCAAATGCAGACCTATATTGTGATTGATCATTATTACTGACGTCTAACATTTCGATATGGTTTTGAATTGCATTCAAATTGGTCCATGCTTCACGAATTTTATCGGCTCTTAATCTTAATTGCGTTGTATCGTTGGACATTGGCTCATTCAAAAATGTCTGAAAACGAGTGAGTTGTGCTTTTACCTGTCGACGACGTTGGAATAATTAATAACGAACACTTAATTTTTTGTTGTTCATTAAAATTATTATCATTTATTGTATGTTGTTTCTTCACATTTTTATTTTATTTCAATACAATATTTTCTTTTTAAGCAGATTATGCCACTTAATGTGACTTGACATTTAAAAGAAACGCGTAATAAGGAAAACATGTTATAAATCGGTTATCTAACGTTGACTTACGGTGGTCCTAGGTAGCCGAATGTTGATTGAGGTGGCTTGGCTCTGACGGCGGGCACTACTGGTCGTAGATCAGGACAGTGTATCGGTGGGTCGAGGCGTCTCGGCTCGGACGTTAAAAATACTCGTCCGACTAGTTTCGACCAATTGGCGATTAATATTGGTCCCTAGTACGGAGGAATATGCGATTAGTATAAGCTCTACTGCTCTTCGGGATTCGACACCAGTTTGATCCAATTGATATTGGATCCAGGTAGACAGCATGTCACCGCTTAACAGTATATTATGATATATACTAATTGTTGCGATGCACAACGGAACGGTACTCATCAGAGGTCATCACGGGGTGTATTTATGCACCTTCCGCGGCATCCTCCGTGAACGAGTCTTGATGGTTGGTGTATGGGCCTTTTGATGGAATCTGATTTTATTCGTTCTTCGGAGCATGTTGTCTTCCCTCGAGTATTATTATGATGTGATGTTTCACTCATCCGTACCATCAGATACCGGTATTAGATGTTTCTAGTTATTACCAGGAAGCGCATCGTCCGCGTTATTTATTGTTCGTACTCGACGCATATTACCCATACAGCAAAAAAATATTGAATGGATATCCATTGAAGATTCATTTATACATGTATTTATCTATTATAAGCATGATTATTAGTTTGTTGGCAGTCGGCTGCCGGCGGGTCGGTATTCTCAGCACTCGCCGTACATTTTCTAAACCGTATGAGCTGTTATACGGTGAGCGGTCAAATGGTCCTGTTATAACTTAATGAAAGACAATAATAGTATTAAATAATTACAATAATTTCGTTTAAAAATTATATGAATTTATCTAGTAAACTTATATTATAGTAAATCTTTTACCTATGTAATAAATATGTTAAAGCATTTGTATGACTGTATGTCATTTTCTTGTGACTTGGTTGAAACACTATTCGTAAGCCAATTCCTCACGTAGCAATAGGAAATATAATAATATAAATAATGATATGTATTAATAACTAATACAAAATAATAAGAATACAGTTGGGGCTTGGTGTGGCGCGGTGATTGGCTGCAGTCCCTAATCTGTGTTAATCTTCGGCATCCGGATGGGTGACCACCTCGGTGTTTAGTGACGAATCCTAGCTCCACATATACACGTGTCACTCGAACCCAACAGTGACGTCTACTAAAGATGCTGTTAGCCATAGGTGCACGGTTTATTTACAATCAAATTGGCACACAAAATAAAATGTAATTTAAGTAGTACCTGGATCCCTGGGTGTTGTCCACCACCACCGCCACCTCTCCTCTTCACCGCTCAGTCGTTTCCACCGTTAGCGGATACCACCGCCACCGACACCTCCACTAGTCCCCGCCACCTCACCACCTACACCTCTCCTACTCACCACTCAGCAATAGAAATCGTAACCGGTACACCGCTCCCCGCCCAACCATAGACTATGCATCTAGTACTCCTCTCAGAGCCTAAGATACCGCCTCGTCTATTATATATATTTTACTATAGAGTGGGGATTCACTCCCACTCTCGACGAGCGCTCGATGGTACTGCATAAAACGCGCGACATGAGCATAGGACAAGTCAGTCGCAACCTGCTCTTCAAGTCATAACAGTTTGTGCGAATAATCCATCATAATGGTTAGTCAACTTATCGACTGTTCGACTTTTTTCGTGGATGACAGTACTTTTATAAATATAGGTCTAGACCAGGATTTTTTGTTAAATTGTGTTGTGTGTATTACAAGTAACTCTGCAAATGAGCATGAACTTATATGAATCGTTAAATGTATTACTTTACAACATAAACTTTTCACAACCTTCCCATTTACTGTTGAAGGAGTTTAAATTGATGTCAATAGATGAATGCAACGGTAACAAAGTTCTGTGAATCAAATGTCTACAGCAAGATCAGAAGGTGCAACTGACTAAGGAGAATGTCGCAAGGATCTTGGAATTAAGTGATACCGTGGAAGAAGTTATTGAGATGAAAAACATGTACGGACGGCCAGCCGCATTGCTTCAGGCTTGTAGAATTTCATTATTTCTCGGAAACGAAATGTCGTTAGCCAAGGTTCCAAACATTAGTGATGTTGAAGATTATTTGAACCGCATCGAGGTCAAGAAATTGAAAGAGCGTATTCCGGTCGCTGGCACAAGCTTAATAGCAGATTTGAAAAGTAAAGCATGCAAGCAATTGGCTAGGGGTTGGCTATCCTCATCGTCCGAAACTGAGGTAATACGAATATATTGTTACATATAATTGTATACTAAAGAAAACTAATTTTTTTACCCTGAATTCAAGATACAGAGAACGAGGGCATTCGCAGCACATGAAAGGGCAAGTTGTAGATTAAGTTACTAATTGTTCATATAATTGTCAATGATTGCCTAATGTTTTATATTTTAAAAGAAAGACTAGATTAATATAATATTTTATTGTCAATAATAATAAAAAACATAACGTGATATTCAAAAATGTATTTTTATTTACAAAATTATTTACAATTTCCTAACGTCACCATTAAATGGACTATAAGTAATAATTTGATCGTGTAAGATGAGGCAATATGCTGCAGTCTTTGCTGGAATAACTGTCTGTTTCGAACTCGATGCGTAAATCTACATTCGATGATTTTACATTGTCGTTCTGTCATGATAAATCCACGACTATGATTGGTGCAAATTGCTGGAAAATATTTTTTGCAAAGAGAGGCTCGCTATATTCTCTCTCGTAGTATGATTTATGGAATTCGACATACGCTTTCTACAATATAGCTGTAACGTTGTTTGTAAAATCTGCACGGGAATCTTCATATGGATATACTTCAGAGTTCAGGTATACTTTCAGGTTTCTCAGGTAGCAGTGATCGAACCGTCCCGATGGGTTAAATAAATTATTTTTTCGATCTGTTTGAAATCCAATTAATGCAAATCTAGGTTTCTCGAGCAAACTGCTTGATTTTACCGTCCATGAATGAGAAGTGTTCTGAGGGACAACTGGATATTCGCACAAGTCCCAATTTCTGAACGCACATGCAAGTGGTTTACGAGAGTCTTACACTTTTAACAGTTTCATTTTTTCCTTATCACTCACCCTAATAACTGGCATCTTCCAAATAATTTTACTCAGTTCAATCGCTACTTTTTTAAATTTATCTCTACTTTCATTTGCAATGGTTCCTGAAACGTACAATGTAAGTCTGTAGTTGATCTGTTTAAAATGATTTGTTGATTACAGTTGAAGAGTATTTTTTTATAATCTTCGCAGAATTCAAGTAACTGTTTGAGCTGGATACAACCAGCAAACTTGTTATACAACATGAAATGTTTATTTTCACTTGCATCCATATCTACATCCCAAGCAGTATTCTGTAGATTGTTCAATTCATTGGGAGTGTGTGAGCAGAAACCTTTAAGACTCGAAGATATTCCAGGAGATTTTAATTTTTGTATTTCCACACCGTTAATTTCATATCGGATTTCGGAAAGCAAAAACGCTAAACCGTTGTTTGTAAAATTTATCTCGCTTGCATATGCTGCAACATCCGTCGGTATATTCAATTTACCTTCAATATAAAGATAGCTCTCACAGGGCAGAGTATATGCGTCTATATTTTGAATAGATATTTTAATTTCATCGTTATTTTATAAAGCTGTTGAAGAATAGGGTAGGAAAGAGTGATACTACATTTGGGTTATTTTACATTCATCATCATATCCACCGGCTACGTCCAAATGCATATCATTCCTGATTATAGAACTTTTAAAGACCGTAGAAATGATAGATTTTTTTTGTTAGTTTGGACGGCAGACGTCTAGACGTATTAATCTTGTTAGTCGAACTTTAGAGACTCTTCATCGCATTTCTTTTTATATAGGTATTGAACTTAATAGCCATCTTTATGTTTAATTTGTATATGAACTGTGATTGGCTCCCCTCTTAAATTGATCTAATTATTATCTTGATCTCTTAGTACTATATTTATTTTACTTATATACGAAGAACTGAGACTAAATGTTTCGGAACTTCGATGATTTTATGTCCTGGCGGTGACGAAGGGGAAAACTCGTGTATAATCTGGCTCGATATACCATTACTGAATGAACCAGAAATTAGATTGCAATCGATTTTTATACAGTTGACTTTCATTATGTTCACTATCCATTCAGATTCGTGTAATGTCTTGGCAGAGTAAACTTTATTTTCAATATATAATGTTCAATACTGAAATCAACATCATGACTACACGTCATTGAGCATTTCAATGTACTTCCATCAGCCTTCAGTTGTAACAAAGTAAAATGTTTCGGAAAAAGCTTTTGAATCATAGACTCCAAGTTTATTATTTCATACGATCCCGTATGTATATTCACATTTACGCATTTTCCAAGCGAATCACAAAATCCTATTGTATTATAATCAGGTTCTACGTTTGGTATAGAGTTATTTGTTTGCAGGCTTAAAAGACATAACTGCGATGTATTTTTTATTTCTAATGGTCTGAAACTATCACATGACATTTCGCTTAAATTACCATTTAATGTTATTGTGTGCATGATAAAAATTTCAAACACAAATGTCCGCAATGAAATGTGTTATAACGTTGATGTCTAGGGTAATTATATTGTATCGTACATCCACTAAGGTACGTCTGTAGTTCTAATGGAGGGAGTAGATTACCAAAACTATCGTAGTATTTAACTTGTTTTTCGATTTTCTTATACACTACCCAATGAGTTCCAGTATTTTTTTCGACGTCCGAATTGATTACAGCACATTCTTTATGCTTAGGACGTGTGGGTAACCTATCTCTGGAAAGCAGGTAGAAATGAGGTATTTTCGTTATGCGTGCATGTTTTATAATTTCATAATCGTACAACGCTCATTTGGGTAACGTAGGTATTAGTTTTTTTCCGTTTTACAGTTTTCTTTAGATTTTCGTGCTCCTTTTCTTTTATACGAGCTACCTCCCTGTGAAGAGATATATAGGCCTTTACCTTTCTCGATTTTGTACGATCCACCTTTATTAGGTGTGAGATATAATCCTTTACCCAAATGTGAAGGTTAATTTCTATTGAATTCGCTAATGGTTTTTACAACGTTAGCAATACCACCCGTCCGCGCTCCAAGTGCAGATAAATCGGCAATAATTGGTATCAAAGGTAACATGCCACCAGTTTTTGGTATAGGTATGACACGAGGTATCCGAGCTTTCTTGCCGTTTTTACGGAATATTTTTTTAGCTGCCTTTTGTTAGTTTCATCAGGTTTTTTTTAAAATACATTTTTAACTGCTTTAACAGCAGCATTGAATTCACATCCTGTTCCCATTTTTCGTTTTGACTTCATACCCGTAGTGACTAACCACGCTGCTGCCTTCTCCTTTAAATTAGAGTCTTTTGATTCGAATCTATTTCAAGCCTGGTTTTCTAATATAAAATCTGATTTCTGACGGTCTACAAAATAGTTGTCTCGATCATAAACGATATCGTGTTCTTTACACGCCGAATCTAGAGAGTTGGTACCTTTATCACCACGATCTAATCGTTTATTCAATTTTGTACCAGGTCCACAGTACTGATAACCTAAACATGATGATTAGAAATTAGAATATAAGTGTTTTTTTACTTATACTTATTGATACATCGCCCAAACTGCTGCAAGTAGATAATGGAAAAGAATTTTATAATTTAAAATTTGATACGTTAAGGACAAAGTATAATATAAAAAAAATATAGCACATATTCTACGACAAAAGCCTGTTTTGTCGAAAGGTTTAATCGCACTTTAAAAACAAACATGCATATAGAGTTTACTGCTCGGGGTTCACAAAAATGGATATCTATTTTACCAATGCTGATAGATAATTACAACAATACAAAACATAGAGCGATTGGAATGACACCGTTGCAGGCAGAGGAAAATCCTTCACTAAAGACTTTGAAACAAAGTATAATCACTAATAAAAAAGAGAAATTTCGCATTGGCGATAAAGTTCGAATAAACACTCACAAAGGTGTTTTTACAAAAGAATTTTTACTGAATTGGCCAACAGAAATATTCACAATAGTAAAAATAACCAAACACTACCACCAACTTATCAGTTACATGATTATAATGATTATCCAATAGCTGATTGTTTTTATAACGAAGAGATTTCTAAAACAAATTATACTAATGATTATTTAATTGAAAAAATTGTACGAAAGAAGGGGAATCAGATATATGTCAAGTGGGTGAGATTTGACGATTCTCATAATTCATGGGTAAATAAGAATGATATTAAAAAATAGTTCCAGTGGTAGTTAAGAAGTGAATCTGTTCGGTACAGCAAATTATTATTAATCTGCATTCTGCAAATATGTCATCAGCTATCTTGGACGTTCAGTGCATTGTCGGAGTCAACGACAAGTATTCTTTTAAAGAAATGTCTATAGTAGACACTGAGACATCGTTCAATCAACGCTGGATATTTAAAGATACATCTTTCAAACAAGATGCGAAAAGTCGAAGTGTAAACAGTTGGCTACAACGGCTGCATCACAGTTTGTCTCCGGATTACGGTGATGTAGAGTATGAAGAAATAAATATTAAATAAATAAATAAATAAATATTCCAATCGAACAAATTCGACAGAATTTACGTTAAAGGTTTACAAAAACAACGGTTAATCATAGACTTTATGCCACACGTCACCGTCTACGACTTGGAACTCTTTGGATGTCCTCGGATTTGTTCATTGATTGGACAATCACTACCATGCTGTAGTTTTCATAAAGATTTCAATCCATTAGAATGTACATTGAATAAAGCATTTGCATTAAAAAAATGGTATGTTAATAATGTTTAAGATTGTATTCTATATTTTTAATAAACAATAGTAATATTTAAACCTTGGTGTTTTTTATATTACATTGTATATTTATTGAAAACAAAATCATACAGATATTTACATGATATATTTTGTATGCAGTATAACAATTTTTAACATTTAGTTGTTCAAGTACCCCCCATTGTATCGTTTCTATCATATTGTCATCTTCCGAATACATAACCATACGTTTTTCGTATTCCATTTTGAAAGTTTTTGATGTAAATGTTTTTGCTAATTGTTTAGTTTTAGAATTTCGTGTTATTTGTTGAAAGTGTAGTCCTACGTCCCTTTTTTCGTCGTTTATTATTTTTTTCATACTGCCCATATTTAATTTTTGAACATTTTCATAACTTAGTGTAAATTCTTTTATTTTTGTGGTTGTACGATTATTATTATCTGTGTGGGCATAACTTTTAGAACCTGTCGATACCCAGTCGGATATGTCTATACCTGGACCTAATTCATCCGTCCACACGCCTAGCATGCACCCCGTCTCCACTTCGGTTTCATCGTAAATATAAAAGACACTATCAGTGTCGTAATATACCACTTTCTCGCCGAAATTATCCAGCATTGTATACAATCGCAATCTTGCATTTAAAGTCGTGAATGCAGCTATGTAAATATTAGTATTGTATTTGTGTCCGACGTATTCGTTGATTTTTTTATATGAAACTTCGACTAAATTGTCAAAAAACTATACTATCGACTTCTAATTTTTTGTCCAACAATACTAGGTACCATCTTTCTGGTTTTGATATAATCTCTGTTTTTGTCTGATTAGGACTTTGTCCAAACTTTCCCCAAAAAAAATTAAGACATATTTTAGCAAGTGCTCTTAATCCAGGATTTTCTTTTATATTTTCTATATCCAAATCGATACCTACTGCATTTTTTACTGCTAAAATATAGTCATTAACCGTTCGATAGTCATTTCTCCAAGAGCTAGTTTCCAATTAAATTTTTTAAAATCACCGTATTTATTCCTTAAATAGCTTATTAGATTTTTTTTCAAAATGTTGCACTTCGTACATTTTAAAATCTTATAACCTTTGTGTCTTTGTCTAATGCTTTTTACACTTCGTCTGTTGTCCAGGTTCCTGTAAGCGACTTCCGTTCTCTGTTGTGTGTACACTGTCTAACTTTATCTATATGACATATATGACAAAGTGTGAATACTAATTTATTAGTTTTTACCGGAAGTATGGGATGATATAATTTGTTAGGTGGTAATATTTTACATTTAATAAAACCATACCAGTTTGATCGAATGTATTGTTGTATTGATGGTTTATAAATATTTTTTGGATGACCTGTGGGACAGTTGTCATAATACATAACGGTTGGGTATAGACTGCACACATCAGTGTATTTAATTTTTTTTATTTTTAGCCATTAGTTTTGTAGCGTTCGTTCTGCCTCCGAAAAATGCATCTCGAGGATTTAGTGGCTCAATTACATCATCAGGACATTGCATCATTTGTTTGTACTTTGCGTACTTTCTCCATTTACAACTCCACATTTCTTCAACTTGATACCCTTTTCCTTTCAATTGAGATGTTCGTCGTATCTTGTTGTTGTATAAATCAGTCATAGCGTTTTTATTAACGTGGTTTATATCATTAGGATGGAAGCAATCCGGGCAGCCATGCCAAAAACATCCATGATAAACTTTTTTTTCCGATTCATCATAACCGTCGACTTTAGCTCCACATATGACGACCTCTCCACCGTTTAAAGCATGACGTATGTTTTTATTTTCGTTTGATATTTTAATTTCCATCCACTTGATAGACTCTTCTGAAAAAGTTTCTTTTTTGGTATTTTGGATGACTGCTACAGAATTATTTAACAAGTCATTTTGTCGATAAATTGCCATACAAACGCTAGCTATTGTAATGTATTTAAATGGGTCAATATTACACACGTCCAAAAATTGATTCCTTAGTTCTAAGCACCCTCTTCGTAGTATATCAACGTCTGAATTACAATATTCTTCCAACTCATTTTTGAAATTAAATACATAATTTTTACTTGTCATTTCGTCATACCAATTTATAAGTGCTGCTCGCTGTTTTCTCGTCATAGAGTTTTAACTGTAATAATATTTGTCCGGTAAAGACCCTATATAATTTTGATTTTCGGGAGTGTTGAAATAATGTGGAAAATAACCTTTTTTTGCTTCCGTAAGTCCAAATGTTTTCGGAAAGTCTGATAGCTAAGACTGTACAAAGTTATGGCTGTCAATAAATTTTATATTTAGGCCCCCTTCTTTTATTTCAAGCATCACAATTTTTTTTAAATATACTGAATTATAAAATATGTTTCATATGCTTTTGAATTATGTGCTATGTATGTTGTTTCCTTTTCTTTTCTTTACTAAGTGCCATTTACAAAATTTATCATTGGCCGAACCCCCGTCATCCGTAGAAAATACAAATTTGTTTCCTTCAAAGTCGTGAGCGATAACCATATTTAGTATGTGCGTTCCTGCAGTGTTTTGTTGCGCTTCATAATCGAAAAATATATAATTGGTAGTGAAAGTACAGCCTTTTTGTTTTTCTGTCGATTGTTCGTTACAAACAAAGGCTTAAACACAATAGTATTCTTTTCCCATTTTCCGTTGCATATAACATTCTCGTTGACATAATTTGATATTTTCCTGTTTACAATTATGACATTTTCCAAGTCCGCAAACGCTGTTGTGCGTGATGTCGTTCATCTGTACGATTAAATTACATCCACCACATTTATATTCTTTATTGCAAACTTTTTTTCATGTTTCAATATCAACACAATAACGGTCGCACTCTTGGCAAAAATATTTTTCTTTTTCAAAGTCTTGGATGTGATAGTCTTCGTTACATAGATTACACTTTATTTGGTGTAATCGTAAACCAGTTATAGATGTTGAATTAACTCCAAAATAATTAAAAATTACTACCTTTAAAAGAACTCATTTTTACTATACGTCTTATGTTGAATCAACACCAAGCTGCTAGTAAGTGAGAATCTACACGCCATCTTAGTTAATTTAACACCAATTCGTGCTAAATTAAATACATTTTTCTATCTGTGTAGCCCTGGTCCTTTTTTACAGACGTGTTTAGTTTTATTATTATTATACATTTATACCAAGTAATTACCACACAATTCACAATAGTACACACGCTCCATAAATGATGACATGGAATAAATCGTATGAAAATGATCATTTTTTTTTAATAGGTAAATCTTAATTCTATTTTCTTTACCCGAGTAGTCAATTTCACAAAACGTGTTTGAATATTATTTCTACCATGCCGAAGGTCTTTTATTTGGCTATCGGTTAATTTATGTCCCAATATAACGTCAGTCTTGTACGATAAGCCCACTATAATGGCACGGGGGCAACACAATTCATCTTCATTATTAATTTGTATTACACATATTTTGTTTTTGGTAAAAAGATCCAAGTATTCAAAAGATGGTTTAGGTTTGCAACCTTTAGGCATTATAATCGCTTGAAAATTGAATACCGTTTCGTCAATATTCAGAGATTGATCTGATGTTAATGTACTACAAATTGTATTTAAAATTCTCCGTCCTAAGACATTAGACGTCATATTGCCTGTAGATATTGGTGAAAAGAACTTTGGATTGTCTGCGTGCAAGTTAACAATATCACCATCAGTGAAGTTTGTAATTTTTTTAATATTTGATATCATATTTTCTAACCCATCCTCCATTAGTGCATTTATACTAACCATATCTAAACTCCCCGGTACAGGTTTTAATGCAATACTATAATTAATCATATAAGCATTGTAATTTTTTATAAATCTATTTTTCTTATTATGAATTTTGAATAAATTTGATTCTAACAGTGAAGTTTCAGCTGCTGATTCTGTTAGTTTCGCTTTTTTTTCCCCGACTTATGTGTCAATGTGTACACGCTTATCGAAAAAATACACACAAATATAATATAAGCGTTTCATAAAAATTTTAGTTTAAAATACTTTGTGTAGACGGTCTGGCTGGAATATTCTCCACAAAAATGTTGGTGGTTACTTCAAACATATCCTGCTGTTTGGCATTAGCTAAAAAAAAAAATTTTTATTTTTATATGTATCTATGTAGTTTATAGAAGTTTATCATACTCTTACATAATTCATTAGCTTCAGTCTCATCCAACAATTTAACACATAATTCATCGTCACTGTCTTCGTACATTATATTATTATAGTCATCTAATGAAAACAATAAATATTTTTATTTTTGACACTAAACATACAAAATGCATCATATACTTCCACATAAATCATTATTTTCGGCCTTATCCAACACTGCAATACAAAAATCATCATCACTATCTTCAAAGGTGATGTCTTCTGTAATATAAATTATTAAATTATATACATATATAAATCATACTTGTAGTTGTAATAGGTTGTGCATTACTGTTTAAAATACTTGTAGCTGATGCAATTGAAATAGTCTGTGCATTACTATTTAAAATATCTAAAACAAAAATATAATATTATTTCAAACGTAAATTAAATGCGCTATATTGTTTTTATACTACAATCATGTACATATGTTTGTATAGGTTACTGATTTTCCTTAATTCTTTGTTTGTTTTCCTGTCACCTGTCGATTGCACCAACTAGATTCACTTTCATACCAGAAAAGTTGATGTTGAAGAATATCAAAGCACTTTTACTGCAAGAAACCATGATGACAGACACAAAAATATAAATAAATACAAAAATAAATATGAAAACACATATCATTGTAAAATCAATACATTCATCGCTCAGCTCAGTATCTAAAATGCATTTAATACAAAAAAATGCGAAAATTAAAAACAATTACACATTTCAAATTGTTGTACTACGAAACAAATTTAGTTTTTGGTTAAAACTGTATAGCACTTAAAGAAAAAAAATTCCAAAAGTTACCAAAATCCTAGCTCTACTAATAACAATATAAAATTTCTAAACTGACATACCGTCTCCGCTCAGAATCGTTTTTTGTTTACAGTGATTAGATATAATTGAATTCAAATTTAATACCATCCATTACAGTGACCTCTGAGATGCTTAATGTACAGCAGAGTAACATCCACTTAGCCGCTTGTCTAATTCACTTTTACTACACGACTAACATGTAATTCACTAATTTTTCGTTTTTTTGGTACATATTAATGTTAAATAATATAAAATAATATCATACGAAACACGATTAAGCATAAGCTATAATCCACGGACGTGAGATCTGTGGGCACGATGCTCGGATCGTGGTGGCTAAGAGAAGTAGAGGGTACGGTAAACAATAAAATTGATCTTATTACACTTACGTTGTATAAAGTTTAATATCAAACTGTTTCAGTACAATACACTGATAAATACCCTGTAATCCTACAAAAGATAGTGTTAACTCCTACAAAAAATTAATACCGCTCGTATTGCTGTAAAAAATATCAGTTTTGCAATATATTAACACATAATATAAAAATGGTTTGAAAAATATAGTTATAATAATATAATAAATTATAATAATAGTATAATACATTTTTAAAATATAATAAAAGTGTTAATAAAATAACAGTCATAATCATTTAATCCAAAAACAAAATATGTTTAAATTCAATAAAACAATACTATTAGTTAATATAATTTTTTTGAAAAATATAATAAAAATTTTAATAATACAATATTCATAATTATTTAATCCTAGAACAAAAATTGTTTGAAAAATATAATAAGACAATAGTCAAAATCACATACGTTTAAAATAATAATTTTTGAAAAAAAATGATAAAAAATTCAATGAAACAATACTATTAGTTAATATAATTTTTTTTGAAAAATATAATAAAAATGTTAATAAAACAATAGTCAAAATCATATAATTTAAAATTAAAATTTTTTGAAAAAAATAATAAAAAAAAATTCAATAAAACAATACTAAGTCATAATCATTTACGTATATTTTTATGGCATACTTTAGAGATAAACTCTAAACGTGCAATTTCTCATCGTATATATTTATCTGGTTGATTAAGTATAAATTGATATTTAGAAATAGTTTTTGTCTGTCTGCGTTGTGTTGTATGACTAAATTTAAGTAATATTACCCTATTTTTTAAAAGGAAAAATTTCTATGTAGGAGATTACAATATCTTTGATTTTCAGGTAAAAATTTTAAAAGGTTATTAGTGTAGGAGTTTACATTTAATGATGATTCAGGTAAAAAGGTTATTCTTGTAGGAGTTTACATTTGGCCATAAATACATTGTATAATATTATAATTACATCATAAGCAACTAGTCCTGAACACTCGTCAAAAATAGCTTTGCCTCCTCCGTTTTCAGTCTTGTAAATGTTAATTTTTAAAAGTATTCATGTACCTACAGATACAAATACTTATTTTGAAAAGTATTTTAAATATGTATTTCAACACTCAGTAAGTAAGTATTTAAGTACAAATAGAAATACTTTGAAAAAGTATTTGTAGATATTTTCAAACACCCAATTTCTATTTTTTGACATATTTTAACTTTATAATTAATCAACATAATCTGATATTCATATTTTAGCATTTTACACCATATGTCATTTGTTTTAACTCTCAAACTATACAAATCTTATATCTAATATATAATTTAAAATCTATATTAGGATTTATGGTTGAGTATAATAATATTAACGGTAAAAAAATAAAAATAATAAAATTCTCAACTAAAATTAAAACTTAAATAAAAAAATATATATAAACGAATATGTAATTTAAAATTAGAGTCATGAAGTTTTATTATTGAATAGTCTCTTCAATCGAGTTCTCTAATGTATCCTTTCATCTCTTGTGCTAATTGTAAACATATTTTATAAATATTTTACAATTTAAACAAATTCCAAATATAAATCGCAATGCGTTTAATTACCATAAGAGTACAATTTGATAAAAACGATATTGATAACAAAAAATTAATAATAATGACGTCATGGATCCAGAGTTTTTTCTGTCGATGATCCATTCGTGTATCAGCGAGTCTATACC